AAAACACTGGGTGAATGCCTTCCGTCTATCACAACATGATCAATTTGATTTCTAGTTACTTGATCAGGAGATGCTTGAATCTGGTGCTGCTAACTACCAACAACCTCAACCTCATGCCGTTGTTTCTTCATGAAGGCTGAATTTTCCGACGGTGGGGCCAAAGATATTTTCCCTTCCGATTTTTGCATTAAAATCTCCTAGCAGAATTTTAATGTCATGGCCAGGGCAACGGTCATATGCTGTTTCTAGGCGCTCATAAAATATATCTTTGGTCTGTTCATCTTTATCTTCGGTCGGAGCATGGGCGCAAATTAGACTGATGTAAAAGAACTTCGCTTTTATACGGATTATAGCAATTCGCTCATCTACTGGAGTGAATCTGGAGACAAGGTCTTTTATTCTCCTGTTAACCATAAATCCGCAGCCAAATTCATGTCTCGTTTCATGGCAGCTATAATACAGGGCGTAATCGTCTGATTTACTTACGCCTGTCCCTTTCCATCGCATTTCCTGTAAGGCAATAATATCGGCTTTGTACTTCTTGAGTATATCCGCCAAAGCGAACACTGCCCCTGTTCTGTATAGCGTGCGCACATTCCAAGTGCAGATTCGCAGATCGTGGTCCTTTATACGTTTGCGGGGGTCGTCAACATTAGGGGGGTTTGGTTTTCTTTTTCTTGCTTTTTCATAGTAGGTTGGGTTTTCCGAGAGTGGGCAACTAACCCGACGCCTCAACCCATTTTTTTATAGTTCTTATGGGTGAACTCGCGGCACATATTAGCTCACTATTTCATCGGGTGATGAGAATAGCTCCCCAGGTGGCACCGCGGGGAGGTCAGTGTCCACAATTGAGATGAAAGAGGGACCAAGATAAGCCTGGGCTTCGCCATGTTAAAGCTAATCAGAGCCGTTGCTTGGTATCTATCATCCCCTACGCCACCCCGGCCCTATATAAGGCGTGGATTTAATTAAGAATATAAGGCGTGGATTTAATTAAGAATATAAGGCGTGGATTTAATTAAGAATATTTTTTCCGGCCCTATATAAGGCGTGTATTTAATTAAGAATATTTTTCCGGCCCTATATAAGGCGTGGATTTAATTAAGAATATTTTTTCCGGCCCTATATAAGGCGTGGATTTAATTAAGAATATTTTTTCCGGCCCTATATAAGGCGTGGATTTAATTAAGAATATTTATCCGGCCCTATATAAGGCGTGGATTTTGTATCACAGTGTTAATGAAGATCTCTTCATATATTTTTAGCCCTCAAAATCTATTGGACAATCCGCCACGGAATTTTGTGATTCTATTGAAGAAGGTATTGAAACAGTTACAGAACATTCACAATCTTCCGAAATAAGCTTTCTAGGACATTACAAAAGTAAATTAGAGTGTATTTATCAAAATTATCATTATTTGGATGCCTATGGAAGAATTGATGTAAGTAGTCGAAGTCTTCACAAATAAACGTAAAACACTAATCTTTTTAACATTCTAGGAATCCGAAATAATTCGAAGCTATGAAGAGGCCTATGTGGTCAATGATGACACGACGAGAGATGTGATTAAATTGTGTGTTCATCATGCCAATGGGAAATTTCAACAAAACAACTTACAAGATGAGGTTTTTGCACTGCAGAATTGTTTGAAAAAACATAGTCCAGATTTCCAGCTAGTCAGTCAACGAAGGGATGAATTGTCAAGAGATTATTGAAAGTTGTTCGATTTATTAAGATTATGGAATAAATTTCTACCTTTATTTTAAATTAAATTAAACAACATTTGGGTTTTCTTTTTGTTTTTGTAAGTTCAATTGTCTCAGCAATCTCACAATCTAAACATTAAAATTGAGTAAATATGATCAGGTTAGGCCATGACCATTATGTGAATCTTTCTCCGCTTTCTTCTGCCCTCAACAAAAAGTCAATTAATTTAGGTTTCTGTGGCTGGTACTTGTATGGATTTCATGGCTGCGGTAATGTGATCATCCAATGGTAAACTCTCATCCATGGAGAAATGACGATAGTTGTCCATGAAATAACAGGTACCATTGTCGGCATTATGGAATTCCTTGGGCAGGAATGAGGGATCCCTGGCTTTCAAATCAAATTCATAGCCGGGATATTTTATGAGCCATCTGCAAATAAACACAGAATATTATTTAAGAACCCTATACATGACATGTTGCTATACTCACTCCCTAGTGGTGGGGCTGACATTAATCCGACAAGCTTCACTGCTGGACTCAAACTTATTGGCAATGGTGACATTGTGGCCAAACAGACAATAACGTGGCATCTTGCGACCCACAACCCCGGCCAACACCGTACCCGTATGCAAGCCAATACGCATCTTAATTTGTTCTCCATCATGGGTAATATGTTTTGAACAGGCATCAATCATTTTCAAAGCCATCCATGCCACCTTATGGGCATCATAGATCGAGGCGCGATGTAAACCACTCGCAACACAATAGGCATCACCAATTGTCTCCACTTTATAGACATCGAACATATCACAAAATTCATCGAAATCCTTATACAAACTCTCCAACATATTGATGACCATAAACGGAGTGGCCCTTGAGCAAATGCTGGTAAAGCCGACAATGTCACTAAACAGAATCGTAACATCCGGATATGTTTTGGCATCTATACTGGCACCCAACCACAAACGCTCGGCAATCTCTGCTGGGAAAATCAAATGTAGAAGACTGACATTTTTCTTTCGCTCCTTGGTGACGGCAGCATTCGCCTCCTCAATGGAACTTTTCAATTTGTCCATGCGTCGTCGCAGGCCATCTTGGGCACGGGCTTGTTCGCCAACCAATATCACTTCGCGTGTGGCATCGTGTAGGGGTATATCGGAAATGAAGAGGCCGTTGCAAGTCAAGCCATCCAAGCCGTCAAGGAAAGGTGAACCCATAAAAAGCAAGGAGTTCGACTCGGGACAGTGGACCATTTGTCCCTTGATCTCAAGACCCTGTAAGAGGAAGAAAAAGGTTTGGAAAATATTTCTCAAATTCTTTTAACTATTATTGAAAAATATAGAAAAATTCATCGGAGGTCCACAATAAAGTATACGTTCAGAATACTGACCCATGTTGAAGTCCAATGTAAGGACCCTGCTAAAGAACACAGCCTAATTTTCTAACCGAAGTATCTGTAATAAGGCATTCCGTATTCTTACAGATGATGGTAGCTTCTTGCAGAAAATGTTCAATGTAGGTACATATTTTGATATATTCCCCATATAAATATATATTTGTAATGGACGAAATTTCGGACGAATTCTAAATATAGTTCCACTTTTGAGCAAAGGACCCTCATAAAGATCGGCCACTATTTTAGGTATTTTAAAGATAATTGCCGATGTTTCCTGCCGAAGTGGTTATATAGGTACATGTTAGTTCATAGTCTCTATATAATTGACCCGACCAAAACTAGTAATTTTTAAGGTCGTAGCCGCTTTTTACCATGGCATTTCGGATTCTCAGAGGACAAGGGACATTCTCTTAACAAAAGTTCCACTCCCTTACTTTCGCTGTTTGTAATCTATATGAGTATAATTTTGAGGTCTCAAAGAATTAATGATCTACTCGCAGAACAGTATCAATGTAGGTGTAAATTTTGACATAGCACCCACGTAAGGGTGCTATGTCCTAGCCGCAGTTTCAAACCACAATTTATGTCAGTGTGTGGTTATCAAAATCTATTAAACTTCCTAGGAGAAAATATTCAGTATAAGTCCCTGTTTGGCCTTAACCTTCATGTAAGGATCCCGATCAACCCCTGTTCTCTATATTTTAAAGGTCTTATACACAGTTTCTGACCTATATGACTATAAGCTGACATATTGGGTTCTATGAGGAAAAATTACCTCGTAGTAGAAATTTTTAATATAGGTAAATTTTATGAGCCCAGTTTAAAAGCCCCTGTTATGCATTGTGAAGGTCCTTACTGCATTTTTTAATCGAACTGTCTGCTGTCTGAGGTTACCAGAGGATACAAAATATACTCGTAGAAAATATTCAATGTAGACCCACGTTGATAGGAGTTGGTATTTCGGGTTCTCAGAGGACAAAGCATCTCTTTGTAGAATAGTTTCAATATAGGCCCATGTTGTGTCATAGTCCCATTTAAAGGTTCCGACCCATTTTAGGTACTATAAAAGGCCTAGCCGCATTTTCAAATCGAGGAACCTGTACTTTAGCAGTTAAAGTTCTTAAAAGAAAAAATTATATATCCTCCTCTTCATTTTGTTCCTTGTCCATAGTTCAAGTCGAACTTCACTGTAATTTTTTTCGACACTTACCTTAGCTGTAAATTCCTGGACATCGGGAGGACTTTTCAGAGCAATCAAGAAGGGAGTACAAGTACGGCGTACAATATCCCGAAACTTCAAAGTCAAGCCCTTGGGACGTTTGAAATCAAAATAGGTTGTGGCATGGCAACCGAACTCGGCCATATATGGCTTATACAGCTTACTGAAACCACGGCCTAGGAAATAAATTTATTTAAATTATTTATTACTTTAATTATCCATCCATTCCACTCACCCAATTGCACCAATTCCAAATCTTCATTCATTATAAAATGCCATGGAAATGCCTTACAGAATGTACTTGAGTTCATGGTCAAATCCGAAGCATTTGTTGAATTGCTACGCTGTGCTGGTCCCTCAGTGGATTTACTAACCGTACGTACTTCACGAGCATGACCATCCTTGGCCAAGGAGAACAAATAACGATAACGACGATTATCACCCTCAACAGGTTCAATTTTTATATTGACCTGGACATTGAAGAGGATTCGAGTGAGAGCCTTTAGAGAGCCCAACAAAAGCCATGCAATTACGGGACGTTCCGAGGTAAATATCAATTCACCATCACCGGCACACACAAAACCCGTGTCACTCGAATCATCGTCCTGCAATCATCATTGAATTTTTACAAAGATCTTTTAAATAAATTTGATTATTGTTACCTCTTGAAATTTCAATACATCATAGACCCCATCCAGGGAACCCAAAAATTCTTGCAATTCAGTGCCCAAGCAACGGAAAGCCCTCTCAATTATTCCCGTGCAACAGGAAGTGATTAGCTCTTCTCCCAGTAAAACCAGGATTTCACTAGCACTCGATTCATCCATTTCGAGTAGGATTTCTTGGATATCGGCCAAGTAATCGTAGTTTGGATAGGTTTTAAGGGTCTCCAAATCAATTCGTCTGAAATAAAAGGTCCGGAAATACAATCTTAAATAAATCCACGCCTTTTATAGGTCCGGAAATACAATCTTAAATAAATCCACGCCTTTTATAGGTCCGGAAAAAATAATCTTAAATAAATCCACGCCTTTTATAGGTTCGGAAAAAATAATCTTAAATAAATCCACGACTTTTATAGGTCCGGAAAAAATAATCTTAAATTATTTTCACTTAAATTCACGCCTTTTATAGGTCCGGACAAAATAATCTTAAATAAATCCACGCCCTTTATAGGTCCGGAAAAAAAATAATCCTAAATAAACCCACGCCTCTTAAAGTCCGGAAAAATTAATCTTAAATAAACCCACGCCTTTTAAAATCCGGAAAAATAATATTAAATAAATCCACGCCTTTTATAGGTCCGGAAAAATAATCTTAAATAAATCCACGCCTCATACAGGGCCGTAAAAAATAATCTTAAATAAATCCACGCCTTTTATAGGTACGGAAAAAATAATCTTAAATAAATCCACGCCTTTTATAGGTCCGGAAATACAATCTTAAATAAATCCACGCCTTTTATAGGTCCGGAAAAAATAATCTTAAATAAATCCACTCCTTTTATAGGTCCGGAAAAAATAATCTCAAATAAATCCACGCCTTTTATAGGTCCGGAAAAAATAATCTCAAATAAATCCACGCCTTTTATAGTTCCGGAAAAAATAATCTTAAATAAATCCACGCTTATTATAAACTCTGAAAAAATAATCTTAAATAAATCCACGCTTATTATAAACTCTGAAAAAATAATCTTAAATAAATCCACTCCTTTTATAAGTCCGGAAAAAATAATCTTAAATACATCCACGCCTTATATAGACCACGAAAAAAATTCTTAAGTAAATCCGCGCTTTATATAGGCCCCAAAAAATTATCTGAAATAAATCCGCGCCTTTTATAGGCCCGGAAGAAATATTCTTAAATAAATCCACGCCTTTTATAGGCCCCGAAAAAAATCTTAAATAAATCCATGCCTTTTATAGGTCCGGAAAAAATAATCTTAAATGAATCCATGCCTTAGGCCCCAAAAAAATAATCATCACTAAATCCATTCCTTAGGCTCAAAAAAAAATTATCTTCACTAAATCCGCGCCCCGAGAAAATAATCTTTACTAAATCCACGCCTTATACAGGTCCCGAGAAAATAATCTTAAATAAATCCACGCCTTATACAGGTCCCGAGAAAATAATCTTAAATACATCCACGCCTTATATAGGCCCCGAACAAATAATCTTAATTAAATCCGCGCCTTATATAGGCCCGGAACAAATGTATAAAGCATTGATTTACTTCTTATACTTACAGCTTCGATATATTTGGCCAATTTTTACGATACTTCAAAATAAGTGCTGTTACGGCAGTATTTAAATCTTCATTCTGTAAATAAAATTAAATAATTGTTAACACAATAATATTTCCTTTTCTTCCTCGATTCAATTTACCGATGGCGCTGTCAACAGCTGTATGGCCATTTGTAAATGAGTCAGCGTTAGAGCATCACCGGGTTGTTCCTCATCTTCCAAGGTCCAATTGCCTGAAGGTTCTGCGACCACAGATGGTTGGCGTGACAGTGAGTCGGCACGACGAAAGTAAGGACAAGCCATTTTTGTCGCACAGTCTTGGAGCACTTAATCCAGCAGCAGTAGCACACACAAAGAGAGACAGCAGAAGAGCCGTTTAAGTGGTCCTTCAGATGATGACAAGCAGACAACCGGCAAAGGAAAAACTGAAGGAACAGAAAACAAACCAAGAAATAAAACCGATGGAAATTTATGGACCAGAAAATAGAAATTCATATGTACAGCAAAGGTGAATGATGAAGGAGACAATGGGCTACCAACACACATGCACATTCGAACACACCTAGAAACCTATTACAATTATAGATGTGTGTAGATGTTTGGACATACATCTGTATATAATATGCATATTTGTAATTTGCATCTAACAATGCAAATTTTCATTTCATTTCCAAGTTCAATGTTAAATTTGAGGAGAATTTAAAAAAGGAAATGGAAAGGACAAACAAATTAAATGGCCTTTTCGCAAAATTTTTATGGACAATATCTTGAGAATATATTACATTGACAAAAGGCAATCCAATTATAGATTTCATTAACACCAAAGGACATTTGCAATTTCCTTATTTGCAAAAAATGTGGTACATTAATCGAATTTCAGTGCAATAGGGTCATGTGTATACTCCACAGAGAAAAAAAAAACAGTGGAAAACTAAGGATACACACACAATGTTCATCCTTAACTTCAACTTGAAAACTTCATAAATTCCTCTTATTCGCTTTTATTTTCATTTTTTTCATAGCCTTTTATTTGACTTTTTCTAATTTATTTGTTATATATATTTATCATATATTTTTATAATATAATATAACATTTATTATTGTTATTTGCAATTTTATTGTCACTTTTTTGGTCTTAATAAACACATACACACACACCTACACTCACTCGTTCGTTCGTTCAGGACCTGCCTTTGGTGATATAAACTTGTTTGTCGTACAGCTTTAAAGGAACTGTATGCTGATTTGTTAACTGACCAAATGTGTCAGTAGGTTCTTTATGTGCGAAAAGCTTTTTTATTTTTCAGGATATGCATTGGGGCGCAAACTCCATTATGAGAAAAGCTTTATATGGGAGCTTTTCTCGTATGGAATTTGCACGCTACATGATATGTGCGGGTTTGTTAATGTTTCGTAACATTACGCTTGTACCGATATTTTATAAACACATTTTAAAAAACATATAGATTCTTCTAAATACCCTCAATCCTGAGGCGTAATTTTTTGGGCTGAGCCTGGTCAATGTTCTTAAAACTGCAAAAGCTATTAACATAAGTCTCAAATTCGATTATTTTATTCGGGGAATGGAGAAGCTCACATATATCCAGGAAAACCAAGCTATAATATTCGCTTGAATAGAATCTCCAAAGATCGCGAAATAGAGGTCGACCAAGAAACACCTAGCGATTAACAATAACCCACGAAACCATAAAGGAAAGTAGTAAAGTCGTATGGGCCGACTATATTATACCTTTCACCACTTTGGGTATATTCAACAGACAGACGTCACATTTTGAATTTGGACGAACTTAATATATGATCTATATCTACATGTATACCGACTTAAATCAATCCATACAAATTTCATTCTGCAACCTATGCTAGATTTATGCTGCAGCTCAGCGCACAGTGAAAAAATGTAATAATTCACAAAAAGTCGGTCTAAATATATAAGTGAGTTATGTCTATGTCATTCCAGGCTCGGACGAAAATATATACACTGGTGGCCAAAACTAAAGCAACTGAAATTGCAGACTGAATTATTGGCCTCTATTTTTTTTTAATAAACTTATAAAGTATTTTCAGAAGTAAAGACGTAATTTATTTGCTTTGAAAAAAACAACATATTAAAAAAAATAAATTTACCCAATTTTTGCTTGGTCAAAATTAAAGCAACTTTTAGATTTTAGCATCTTTGTAGAACCATTGAGATGGGATCGGGCGACATAGATATTTGAAACCATAAAAAAAATTAATAAACACAAGATTCTGAAATCGGTGAAAAATTTCATGTAAAACAGACAGACATAGAGTCTTTGGTGTGCTATTTGTATGAAATCGAGGAAAATTATGTATCGGATCTATATGTAAACATGAACCGAATTGAACAACCGTTGCATACACATCACTCTACACTAAATTTAATGCCCTCTGCCAAATTTCGTGTACATCGAAAAAAACATAGGCACTTTGGTGCACCATTTACATAAGATCGGACGAAAATATATATAAAACCTGCATATATCTAAATATGAACCGATTTCTACAAACTTTAAAATACATCGTTCTTGACTTAATTGCATTTTCTGTACAAAATTGTATCCCAATCGGACAAATATTGGGAATTTCGTGGGCCATTTACATACATCGGGCGAAACTATATATGAAAGCTATATCTAATTCTGACCCGATTTTAACAAAACTATATTTAAATCTGAACCGATTTTAACTAAACATCGCATACATAAGTATGGATATAATTCAGTACGCTGTGTAAAATTTGGTCTCACTCAGACAAATATTGGGAGTTTGGTGCATCATTCAAATAAAATCGGATGAAACTATATATGGGAGCTATATCTAAATCTGAACCGATTTGAACTAAACATCGCATACATCAACCGGGAGCTAGTTCAGTACGTTGTGCAGGATATTGTGTCGATGGGATAAATATTGGGTCTTGGTGAGCCATTCACATAAAATAGGACGAAGCTATATCTAAATGCGAACTGATTTCAACAAAATTTAGCAAACATAAGTATGTGCCTAATTCAATACTATGGGCAAAATTGTGTGTCAATGGAACAAATATTGGGAGCTTGGTGTGTCATTCACATAAAATCGGACAAAAGTATATATGGGAGCTATATCTAAATCTGAACCGATTTCAACAGAACTTATGACCCTGATTTTGTCTCAATCGAATAAATATTGGGAGTTTGGTGTACTATTTAGATAAAATAGGACGAAAATATATATGGGAGCTATATCTAAATCTGAACCGATTGTGACCTGTGTCACATTTTATTCAATTCGGATCATAAGTGCGACTTGTACTTTGTTTACAATTTAATATGGACGGACATGCTTAAATCGAAAATCAACCCAATACAATTATTGGCCCACTTCCATGCACTCACTTTTATATCCTTCACTACACTGTGGTTCAGAATACTATGTCATTGTGTATATGTTTGTAACAAGCAAAATTAAACGAGATTGTTTTTTTTTTAAGAATATGCTGTATTTTGGTCTGTCTGTCCATGTTAAATTGTAAACAAAGCACTGGTCGCATTTATGATCCGAATTGGATGCAATTTGGTACAGCTCATTTATTTGGTTTCTGGACATGTAGACCTGCTACCGCAGCTCGTCCACGCTCCATTCTTGAGGTTGTATCCAACGATAACCCTCTCCCCATTACCGTTGAACTCTTAATTGGGCATTTGTTAATGATATGACAACTGATATTTCTCGCGGCCTCCCTCCGTGATGAACTGTCACTACTGATACAGTTACAATAAAACCAACTTATATCGGTGCATTGTATTTGTTTCTAGCCATTTTTATATATTTTTTCCAGTAATAAAATCCTTTTAAAAATAATCTATAATAATCGAAATAAGTATTGAAACCCAAACATAGTATTTATAACCGTAAAATCAACTAAAAGTTGCTTCAGTTTTGTCCAATCAAAAATAGAGTAAAATTCATTTTCCATTTTTTATTATTTATGTCAAGATTTTTTTTTAAATTTTTAAAAAGTTATTCGTCATTTATTATCTTTGTAATTTTAGTTGCTTTTGTTTTGGCCTTCTGTGTTTTTGTTTAATTAATTTATATCTAAATACACTTGCAATCATTGAGAAGAACAATTCATGTTTGCAGAGCAACCACCTAAAATTGTGTGATTTTTTCTTTAATATCGTAAGTAACTCATTCTCGCTTAATATCGTGTAAAAAGGTAATATTTTTATTCTTTGTTGTCAAATTAGTACTAGTTACTAAAGGTTTTTTACTAGTGCTGGAACTATCTATATACAATTCATTGTCATTTTAATTTCTAGCGGGTATTGATATGATGTAGAGTAATATAGTGGTCGTTACTATCAATTACAACCCATATATGTAGGTCATAATATTAGTCAAAGCTTTGCTCCACCTGTTGATTGTTTACATTATTTTAAAACTTTCAATTGAAGCATAAAATAAGCTTTCTCTTAGAATAACAAAAATTCATAACAAATCTCTCACAAATATAAACTTTCACTCAATTAATTTCCCCAAGAGAGCTTCTCAGTGGGGTTGACAAAATATCCCAAGTGAGAATCGTTAGGTGATTGTGATAGGGCGGGAGGCAGAAAAATAAAACGCATTTCAAACAAAAACAAACCTCCACCAACACATAAATTTGTTTGTTATCTGTAAAGCTCTGTTTTGTTGTTGTCGTTGTTGTTGGTGGCTAGTGTATTTACCGGCTCGTGAGCGAGATAAACACATACAATGTATATAGATTTGTTTGTGAAATTTTCAAACAAAAAAATATTTGAGGCAAACAGCAAGCCAGCCAGACCTTTGGCACTAATTAGATGCATGAGTGAGAGTTTTCGCCGTAGTCCGCAGCTATGTTAGTTAGTCGGTGGCAGTCAATTTAGTAAAACGGTTCGTTGTATAGCACAGGCACGCTTTAATCATTTGTTAGAGTAACGTGTTTGTGGGTACGTGTGTGCGTGTTTTGTGTTTTGCGAGTGGGGTCAATCACTTGAGTATCTCGGTTTTACATTGAACTGAAAACAATAAATAAAAAACGAAAAAACATCAAAAAAAAACTGCACGCAATTTTGCATACATTGTCTCTAGTGAAAAAAGCACTGGCCTTTTCTGTGGAAAATCATTACCGGAAATTTACAAAATGACGGATTTAATTCAGCTTGTAAGTCCTCATCATCCGCAACATGCAGAGGTACGGGTATCCAAAGAATTTGTCTTTTTATATTTATTATTGCTTTGTTTGGGCTTTAAACTGCTATTGGC